CTGAAACAATGAATGTGTTAAATGAAAGGATATCCTTTAAGAGTAAATTGTCATTCATATTACATTCATTAAAATCACCATAACATGTTTCGAAAAGAAGTTGCGTTAGTATTCATAGATTATTGCGCAATCTGTGCTTTGACGAAAACATTGTATTATATGTAAATATTTCCACTCGAGTCTAAGATCAAAATAATCTGGCTGTGATACGGAAAAATTATTGTGTCTAAATGTTTGTTTAAAAATGCACGATGATGCTGCAACATATCCGTTCTGAACCGCCTACGCAATATTTTTTTAAATAATCTTACGGAAAGTTCATGGCTGTATTGTTTTCTGCTACACCTCTTTAAACAGCCTTTCTAACTGTTCCTACTAGTCTTTGTCAACGCAAACTTCAGAAAGGCCTAAGAAAACAAAAGCAACGTGTGCACTATAATTAGTGTTTACTATAATTTTATTTCTGGCATCACCTGCTGGCGGTGAACCAAATGGGCTTCCTCAGCTCTGTATTGAGTCACGTCAGGAAGTGACCGAGTCTAGGCTCGGTTGGGCGACCTACATCTTCATGATAGTTCCTCTACCCCCTCTTATTATGTAACAATTATAAGGTAATAAGATTCAATGAAAAGTAATGCTCTTATTATTGGCATATTAAAGCCTTGTCGGCAATTTAGTGTGTTAGTTGCATACACTGTATTGTTGGTAAGTCATCTCTTTTTGTATAAGATGTATGTTTGTCGTGAGTTGAATGAAGGTATTTACCAATTTGTCGATTTGAATTTCTTTTGATGAAATTAATTCGGAGGAATCATGGAGATTTGAACTTGCTGTGTCCTAACAGTTTTCCAATGGTTTGTTTTATAGTATACTTCTTGTTGACTGGATATAACATCTTGAGTTCCAACATGCAAAAACCTATAGGACTGACTTTTTGATTCTTGAATAATACCTACTATATCTTTCAGGTAAATTTTATCCCGATCAAAAGAAATGCCACTCAAAATATCAAAAATAACAAAAACAAATTTGTCGGTATAATAAGATCACAAACTTACTGAATATGTTTTAAAGATTGAAAAATACGCCCCTGTGTATATATCCCCAGTAATAAATAGTAGATACTGGTTCAGCGCCTAGTGTACTACGGTGGTAATGTCTTTTATGTCATTATGGATTATATTATGGCCACTTTCGTCCACTTGTGAACGTGTCTAAACAAATGGTATCGTATCATCGTCACTGGGCATGCTAAATATTTTTTTCTTTTGGCATCTCTTCAAGCTTACAGTCATGCCATGCCCAAGTAGGTGAATGATATCATGCATATTGTTTTCAGTAAGAATTGGTTATTTATATAATTCATTTAAATGTTGGAGTAAGGTAAGTACTTATAACGAGTAAATACATAGTTGAAGCTATATCTCCAGGCGAACCCGTCAATGGTAAAACCCATTAATTGTTCTAGTTTTTAAATCTCACAGAAAATTTACAGCTGGGACGGGGCTGGTATGTTCTCTCATTTTCTTTTGTTACAAGACAACGATTAATGCAAGCTTATCAAGAAAATAACGATAAAAAAGATCAAAGTTAACCTGACAATATTTAAAAAATAATAAAAGAGTTCGTTTATTTAATGCTGATCGGATTAACCATGTTGTCTTGCATAAAGTTATGCTAGCAGCAGTAGGGTTGCTTAGAACGCGAGTTTTATTTTGACGACTTTTCGGGGAACGTGTTGAATTTCAAATTGACAACAAAACCGTGGACCCACCAAACCGGTTCGTCCATCGTTTCGTCGCTTGAGCCCGTTTCCTCTGCACCAAATACGTTGTTTATTCGCACTGTGACCTTGGGAATTAATTTTTGTTGCTATCCATTTTATGTTTCACACTCTTTATTTACGGCGGGCGCCGTGGCAAGCAATTAACACTACTACGGTGACGTAATGCAGTTTTATTGGAACGAATGTTGAAAAAATTTATACATTTGAATTTTATTGTTAGAAGAAGGCTGAATTTTGATAATCATTTTTTAAATTCTGCAGTTTTCGAAGCCAAAAATACCTAGGGGAAGTCAAATTTCGATCATTTGCTAAATCGTCTCTCTGTCTGCCTTTTCCTCGCGTTATTCGCATTTATCCTCTACAATTACTGGAATGGACGGATGTTACATCTTCGATTATGCTTAGTTTAAAGCACAGTAGAAAATCTAACATAATTCCAGTATTGCCCTGACGCTGGAGCTAGTTGTGACACGTGTGTTTAATCTGAGGGATTAGGGTTTTTAATATCGTTGGATTAGTACAAAATCACAGATGTTAAGTGGACCCACCCGTTCTCGTTAATGTGATCGTATCGGTGAAGTTTTACTTTTTTCATTTTTTCATAGATAAACACAGTAAAATTTTGAAGACCGCTGATGATTCTAAATGTAATCCAAATGCTGCAACCAATCCGAATTTTACAGTTCATGGATTACCAAAAACCATCACCACTGCCTCTGGTGATCTAAGCGGTGCTTCGAGCTCAAATTAATGTAGCTGATTGATGTCATTCAACTGATGCCATCCTAAATCTTTTGTTATTTTCTTATGTTGATTCCACATGATTTTACAATTGTGGCAGGTAAGTGATTAGCATTTTCCTTGTCCGAGCACGTAGTACGATTTGTCACGTCGTTCATTCATTATTTTACGGACCGACTCTCCTTGAGCTCCTGTGTAGGCGTAAGAGGGAGAAGGAAATACGTTTTCCCATGAAAACTGTTTAATATTCGATGGAGACGGAAGATTTACGTTTGCGCGATAAGTGTTGCGCGTGGGCGTACATCCGCCGTACTATTTTTGAAGTTTCTCGAGAAATAGTGTGCTGGCCCTAGCAACTAAATAAGGGTTTTACGATTGCGTCTTGACAGATGGGCCAAGGCGTCGGTTTCGTCGCGTTGTCCATCTGTTTTGCGTGGGGTGACGGGTGACTGAGCTAGTGTTTTACTAAGAATCGGTTATTCATGTTCATGGATGACACATCTTTTGCGGCACTGGGCAGTGCCTAGTGGCTCTTATCCTGTATGATTGAGTGTGAGATGAGTGTTTACGTCAGGCGCGGTCCGAAGGGGGGCGGGGGTCACAGGGGACATGACACCCCCCCAAATCTAAGGTTAAATTGAAAAATCCTAAAAAAATTGCCAAATAATAAAAGGCAATTTCTAGCTATCCCCCCTAACAGCGATAGTTTGTTGACATTAGTGGTGTTTTTATGAACTACGTACGATGGCCAAAATAACTCGGAAATGACATCTATAATACTAGTTTAGAAACAAGGAACCGAACTATGTAGTTTTGGTAAGCATAGCAAAATCGATATGCGTCGTTATGATAAAGATTGTATAACAATATTTTATAAGTAATGTATAGACTAAACTGTGTCTTGTGCAATAATGTTTATTTTATTCCAGATACCTACTTTTTATTACTGTAGTCAGTGACCCCCTCCAAAATTTCAGGCTGCGACCGCGCCTGGTTTACGTTGTGTTGTTTATGCAAATTGTTGATTTAAATCTTTATATTTTCTACAGTTTTAGGATTTGGAATTTTAATTTGCTAAAGATACCTTGTCTTCCAGTCACCTTTGCCTATTGAAGTTAACGAAATATGTACTGTAATAGTGAATTAGCAAGATATTTTGTTTATCTCTTACACCCGGTCTAGCAGAATCCGACGCAAGCCGGAGATAAGTTTGTTTGATGTTCGTTACTTTTCGTCTAACCCGCATCTATTTATAAATGGAATTCAACCTTCATTGAATCTGGAGCAAGCACAATTGAACAGTTTGTTTTGCAGTCGAATTATTAGGCTAATAGTCTAGTCTAAGAAAGAACTTCAGTCCGAAAACCTCTTTTTAGACAAGGTCGTCGTGGATTTGAACAGTCCCGCTTTCCTGTGGCACCTTCTCTAAATTCTATTTTCTTTGATACAAGGTGCAGCACCCCACTTGACATAATGTTATTCGTAGTGGAGTCCACTTTTGATTCAAAAGAGAACTGCTTAAGTTCCAAGAAGATAGTAATGGTAATAAACACTGAAAGGATTGGGTTATGGGATCCTAGAATAACGGATAGAAATACATATATTGCTGAATGGATATATTTTTCATAAAATAATATAAACAGCCATGACTCGGGTGCTAACTAACGCTCGGACCTCAGAGTATACTACCTTGAAAACTGGTGTTCATACGACTCTACCACCGAGGTCATCAATGAAATTTTGTTTTGGAATAATGAATTATTAATTACTTCCTAAGTATTTCATAATTTAAAGACTGCAGAGCTATTTTGCGATAGGGCAGTTGAACTGTGGGAGGCATTCGGAAACCAATCCGCCTACACATCCCAACTGGAAGTATTCGATTCTTTCGGTGTCGCAAGCGCAACAACTTGACGTGGAACCAATGCAATTCTAGTACTCCTTTATATAGTATTGTACATAGCTTTAAATAGAAAAGGCGAAGGCTAACGGTATAGCGTTCATTACTCGTGCTAACCTTTTTTACCTTTACAACGCAGATCGTAGATTTTCTTCATCCTGTCCCCTGTTCACTAGGTAGCTGATAAAAATACTTGTGCGCTACTGTAATGTAAGAATTTGAATTTTTCGCTTAAATCCAAATCAGTATGAAAATAAACCAACATTAAATCTAAAGAAATGTTTTGATAAAAAAAAAATCTATCAAAACTTTTCTTTAGATTTATTATCTAGCAGTTAAATGCTTAAAATAAAATAAAAACATAACTATAAAATGCTATTTCTTCTTTCAAATGTTTAATACTTGAAAAAGTATTCATTTGACATTGTGGGTTACCTATAATGCGAAGAGATGGCGCTGCCTTGCAGCTTAAGAATAGAAAAATTTCGACGCGGCCGTTAGGGCTGCGGTAGCATAATGGTCAGTGCATTCGCCCGGATTGCGAGGGGTGCGGGTTTGGGTCCCGTCTGCTGCCTGGTCCGCGTGGATTTTTTTCTATCAAAACTTTTCTTTAGATTTAATATCTAGCAGTAAAATGCTTAAAATAAAATAAAAACATAATAAACCAACATATACATTCAGAGTGTTTTTGGTCATTTCTCTCATTTCGTGCAAATCACGCGTTCGTGAAGATTATGGCGAACCTAAAGATCCCAAAAGCTCACAAATATTTTTTATATATAATTTGACTGCTTATTCATTGGTGCCATATGGAATTAAACATAATTACAAAGAATAAATTACTGGAAAAAAGAAATTGTTGCTTAAATTTCATTACTTTCATTGTAATTTATGCAGCTAATTAAGTTATTTATTTTATTTTATTTATTTATCGCGGTTTGTGTCGCGTAATTTTACTTATTGGAGAATAAGAATATAATAAGGCATAGAATTATGGGGTTCGGAAGTTGTAATACTGTTACTATTTAAACAAAGTATGATAAAAACAATTTGTCGAAAAAAATATTTCATTACCTTCATCTTTGCTGGAAACCTAAAAATCACACTGTATATTTATCGTACCTTACTTGAACACCCCCTCCCGCCTTCGTACTTGCCAGGCAGTTGACCACGAGCAGTGAAAGAGGCAGGACGTGTGTGATTTTTTTGTGACAGCCAAAAAACATCGTCGGCTACGTGTTTTAACCAATTTCATTACTCGTAGCAGGTTTATCAAGTAAGTATTTATGTTTTTATCATACTTTGGATCTTGAAGCATTTCTACTTTGTATCTTCCAACTTATTTATTGATATTCTGTACGAAAATTCATTAATTGCCGAGTAAAATAAAAAACAGAATGAAATATTCATTACCCTCACTTTCATTGCCGTCGATTACCTTCAGCTATGAATTTGAAGGTAATGAGGCTAAAAGGAAGGTAATGAGTTTCAAGTGTAGGTATTTCTGTTATATTATTTTACATAAATAACGTGCATACTTACATTGACATACATGCATCAATAAATAGATTTTGTTGGGTTCGATTCCTACGCGGAACAAATTTTCGTGTCATGAGCACGTGAGTTTATTCTGTGTCTGGGTATATTATATCTATTGAAGTATATATTTGTGTCGAGGTACTGCTGACTTGTATCCATAATACCAGTGTTTAAGCTACTTATCTTGAAGTCAGATCAATGATTGTGATGTTGTCTGATATCATTATATCGCACCTCCGGTGCGACACTGTCACTTATGCAAAAAAAAGTTTTTTTCAGGATAGCGTTTAAAACTTTAACATCCCAAAACATACAATATTTAAAGATTTTTACGTTATGAACGCTTATACAGCTTAGCTATTCATCTAAAAAAATGTCTTTTTTTTATTATTGTATGTTTTGGGATGTTAAAGTTTTAAACGCTTCTCCTGAAAAAAATATTTTTTTGCATAAGTGACAGTGTCGCACCGGAGGTGCGATATTATTACAGATTGCACTATTTTAATGTCAGAATTCATAATAGACCTTTTAAGGCATACTATAATTTTCAGATTAAAATATGGCTAAAACGAAAACTAAAAAAACTCGCGAAGAAAAAGCTGCGCAATCAAGACTACATAAAAAGAAAAAGTACGAGGACATTAAAAACGATCCTGAAAAATATGCAATACAAAAGGAAAAAGACAGACAGAGATACCTGAAACGGAAAGAACAAAAGAAAATAAAGCTTATTGCTGAAATGACACCACGAGAAAAAAGAGCACAAAGAAAAAAATGGAATGAAAATAGTAAACGTTATGTAGAAAAAAGAAAAAGGAAAGAGAAATACAACAGATGCTCATTGATAATTCACCTCCAACAAGTGATAAAGAAGAAACTGCAGATGCTGAACAAGATCCATTAGAAGGACCATCACACCAATTAGTAAAGGAGCCTAATATAAATTGCAAAAAATGTGAAATTAAGGATAAATTAATAAGAAGACTTCGTTATATTTACCGGAGAGATATGAGTAAACTTAAACAGGAGAAAGAAAAAGCTCTTAAACAAAGGAATGCAATGATACTTAAGTTGCGTAAGCAAATAAAGAAAAACAGAGAAAAAGTGCTATCAACAGAAAAAAAAGTGGATAGCTTAATAAAATCAGTTAATGTAGATAAACGAGATGAAGTAAAAAAGAAATTATTGTTTGGAGAAATCATATCAAACAATTTGAGAGATGGATTTAAAGGTTTAAGCAAGAAAGAAAAACGAGAGTTTAGTGAAAAAGTTATGAGGGACAAAGACCAGTTTAAGAAGCACAAGGTGTTAAATAAAGCGTTTAAATTTACAGTGCGAGATAAAAATAAGAAAGATTACTACGATGAATCATTCATGGATTCAGACAAAAAAATTAAATTAGACGTAGAAGAATTTTTTGAAGACGACAGCAATACTAAAATCTCTAATGATAAAAAAGAATTTATCACACGAAAAGGCATAAGAAAACAAAAACGTTATTTATCTGACACTTTGACTAATCTTCATAAAAAGTTTATAAAAGTTCAAAACAGCAATATTGGATATTCTACGTTCTGTAAATATCGACCATTTTGGGTTCTCTATCCAAAAGACTCTAATCGTAATACATGTGCTTGTAAAATACACGTAAATTTTGATTTATTGGTCAAAAGTCTTAACAAAATAAGAATTATTAAAGAAACCAATGGAACAGCTGTATTGGAAAGTTTATGTTGTGATATAAACAATGAAGAATGCTTAAATCGAACCTGCGAGATATGTCGCAATAATGTAATTAAATATGAAGAATTTAGTAATGAAGAAAAAATTAACTTTTACCAGTGGTGCGCAAAAAAAGAAAACTACAATGTAAAAGGAGAAGAGAAAACAAAAATAACTAACGTAAAAACTAAATTACAAGATTACCCGAAAAACATTATAAAAAATTTAGAATTTTCACTGAATTCATACCTTAAACATTGTTCTAACATCGTTGCCCAATACAAGAACATTAAATCTATGAAAGCGACAATGACAGAATTGATCCACATAGATTTTTCTGAAAATTACTCAGTAAAATATAATGTAGAGATTCAAAGCTATCATTTCGGCGGCAGTCGATTGCAAATAACGTTGCATACTGCGGTTGCGTATTTAATTGATCCTGAAACAGGAATCATGAAGACATACAGTGTTTGCAGTATAAGTAAATGCAATAGACATGATGCAAGTGCGATATGGGCACATCTTATACCACTTCTTGCTTACGTAAGAGACATATCACCTATGATTGATACAATACATTTTGTATCTGACAGCCCTTCAAGCCAGTATAGGAATCGATACATTTTCTTCGTTATTAGTCAACTTAAAAATGATTTCCCAGATTTAAAGTTTGTAACTTGGAACTATCTAGAAGCCGGGCATGGCAAAGGAGCACCTGATGGAGTTGGTGCTGCCTTGAAAAGAACTGCAGATCAAGTTGTAAGGTTTGGTACTGATATTGGCACTATGAAAGATTTTTGGAAGCATATTCAAGTCAAGGTGAAGAATGTCAAACTTCTTTCTGTCTCAGAGCAAGATATTGAAGAGAGACGAATTCCCTCTTCAGTTCCAGGATTCCGTGGGACGATGTCTGTGCATCAAGTTCTGTGGTCATGCGACAGACATCAAATAACATTCCGAAAACTTAGTTGTTTCCTCTGCGAAAATGGTAAAATATGCAGCCATAAGTACCACCTCGGATTTATGAACTTACCTAGTAATTATGAAAATTTCGATGCAGAGCATCTAAAACATTTCATAAATGAAAATACAACACATGAAATTCTTCAAGAAATAACAAATCCTCAAACTTTTAATAATGAGGTCCTGTATAAGTCAACCACTGAAGCGCTACAAAATATGAAAACCACATCAAGTAGTGCCAAAAATAAGAAAATCACTATACTCTCTGATGTGAAATTACATTGGACGAACACTTCATTTATTGGAAATAAAATGAAAAGAAACGAAAATAACAATTTTCAACTTGATTTCCAAAACTTTGTTTCTAGCAATGTAAGAGCGATCCCAGAAGAAGAAGAAATTAATACCGTCGGTAGTTCAGACAGCAATAGTATAAGAACTATACAGAAAAAACATCAAACAATTAAGAAAAAATACTTTCAGCACTTGGATGACAGCAGCAGTGGAGAAGACATAAATAAGGACTTAAAAATTTTAAAGGAACAATCACGCATTACATCATTTTTTGATGATTCTGATGAAAATATTTTTTAACCCTTAAATTGTCACCCTTAGATTCCTTGTGTATTTTGTGCTCAAATTTCGGATTTAGGTTGGAATTGGGATAGAAAAGAAGTAAATAAAAACAATATCAAAATATTTTTAATTTTTATTGTGTTTTTTAATGTCACATAAAACGGACACTGCCCATTATTTTTGCAGTTATGGTAGCAACATAGTAGCAATATAATAAGTAATAAACAACAAATTATAATCAGGAACATTCTAGAATCAGCCTTTTAAAATATTACCTCTTAAGATAATAATAGATAAAAATTAAAGAAATCAACAAAACATCTTGAAAACTTCATGCTTAAAAAAAAATCTTCAAAATTGTATTAAAATTATATATTATTATATTATAAGGGGAAGCGCAATGTCGGATGTGTATGGGTTGGAGTGCGGTGTGCGGCAGGGAGGGCTGAGCTCGCCCCGCCTTTTCAACCTTTATATAAACCGGCTGATCGGTGAGCTCAGTGGTACCAATGTTGGTTGTTCGGTAGACGGGATTAGTATTAACAATGTAAGTTATGCCGATGACACGGTACTACTGTCTCCATCGATTGCGGCCCTAAGAAAACTCCTGCGTATCTGTGAGGAATATGCAGATACCCATGGGCTCAGATACAATGTTAATAAGAGCGAACTGATGATTTTCAAGGCTGGTGCCAAAACCTACTCATCTGTACCTCAAGTGACGCTCTATGGTTCACCACTGAACTTGGTGAAGCAGTTTAAGTATCTGGGCCACTGGGTGACTGATGACCTATGCGACAATGTTGATGTTGAGAGGGAGCGCAGGGCGCTGTCAGTTCGGTGTAACATGTTGGCCCGCAGGTTTGCACGCTGTACTGTACCAGTGAAGGTGACACTGTTTAAAGCTTACTGTCAATCATTTTACACGTGCAGCCTGTGGTTGAACTTCACGCAGCGGGCGTGCGGCGCACTGCGCGTCCAATACATGCATTCAGGATTCTGTTAGGTTTGCCCCGATTTTGTAGTGCATCTACCATGTTCGCTGAGGCGCATGCAGACGATTTCTATGCCATTGTCCGAAAAAGAAGTGCATCCTTATTAAGCCGTCTGAGAGGGTGTGGTAACGGCATCCTGAATGTGTTGGTCGAGCGGTGGGATTCCCCTTTATTGAGGAGGTGGATGCATTTGCACGTCAGTGCATCCCCTCTTTCTTTTATATAGTGTGACATTTTATAATTTTTATTTTTTAAATTTTTATTTTTAATTTTTATTTTTATTTATTATTATTATTGTTGTTTTTATTTATTATTATTTATTTTTGTTCTAATTTAATTTAATTTAATTTTAATATGACATGTAAAATATGGATGTAAAATGGTCCGAAATAAATAAATAAATAAAAAATAAAAAAAAAATATTAGTATGCATTATGAATATTATTATTGATTTTGTGAAAGATAGTTTTTATTGTAACACGGAAAATTAAAACACGACTGAAATTAAAAACTAATACTTTTTTCAATTAGAAGATTCAAATTTCGAGAAAGAAGTTCAAGATCTTGATACAACGCCAGTAATTTTAGAAAGTTTAGTTTTATTTTGTTCAGTTATTTTGTGTAGTTTCTTAGATAATATACACGACTGATTAAATAACCAAACGAGGAGGCTGAATATTATAATTATTTAATGAATAATATAGTTTATATATATGTTACCGGCCAAACCCGATTTCAGGACAAACTAGTTTTGCCTAGGCTAAACTGGTTCTTCCTATGCGCGATAGGATTAACTAGTATAGCCTAGTCCAAACTAATTTGTCCTAAGCCCGATAGGATAAACCAGTTTAGCCTAGGCCAAACTAGTTGATCCTGATAAAAATACGCATACTCTAGGATAAACTAGTATGGCCTAGTGTAAACATTATAGTATATCTAGAAAGTCAAAATAAATAGATAAACTGAATAAAATAATCCGTAATTGGAAAAATAATATTTTTTATTAAAACCATAATGATTCATCGTTACAAGTTATGGATAATTAGTAATACAAAGAAAAGTAAGAAAAGTTTAATTTTTCTAGTAAACTTTTCTTTAGATTTAAACACCTAGCAGTTAAATGCTTAAAAATAAATAAAAACAATAACTATAATTGCTATTTCTTCTTTCAAATGTTTAATACTTGAAAAAGTATTCATTTGACATTGTGGGTTGCGTGGTTGCAACCTACAATGCGAAGAGATGGCGCTGCCTTGCAGCTTAAGGCTAGGAAAATTTCGACGCGGCGAATAGGGCCGTGGTAGCATAATGGTCAGTGCATTCGCCCGGATTGCGAAGGGTCCGGGTTCGAGTCCGGTCCGCTGCCTGGTCCGCGTGGTTTTTTTTTCTAGTAAACTTTTCTTAAAATATTTTGAGTTTACAGTGAGATGAATTGTAAAAGGTTCGAATGATTCGGAATTTCTTAAGCCGGGTAGTTACTCATTGGCGAGCTGTAACCATAACCGTTGCACGCACTGTAACCAAAAAGCATAGTGTGTACGTGGTTCGATAACCTGCTGCGAGAACGGTACGCGTGCGGTTTGAAGCGAGCCAACGTTCACAACTGAGCTACTAGCGTACACACTAGAACTTCGTACTGTATCACGCATGTTACGGTAACAGATCGCTAATGCGTACCCGGCTTTACTGTCTTCCGAACTCCCGGCAACAACAAAAGAGTTAAACAAAAACCAATTACAGAAAAAACACTCCCTCCACTTTCTTCCAGCGTTCTTTTTACATGACGCGCCCTGTACAAGTCCTGACATGTCTGTTCAATTACTTTCCGCTTTGCTAAATTGGTTTAGACTAGGTCGTACTAGTTTATCCTAGAGTGTGCGTATTTATATCAGGATCATCTAGTTTGGCCTAGGCTAAACTGGTTTATCCTGTCGCGCTTAGGATAAATTAGTTTGGACTAGGCTATACTAGTTAATCCTATCGCGTATAGGAAGAACCAGTTTAGCCTAGGCAAAACTAGATTGTCCTGAAATCGGGTTTGGCCGGTAACATATATATACCTACGAGTATACGCAACTTGAAGAATGTTTTTGTTAATTTTTTTATTTTAAAATTTCATACTTTTATTTTGTTATAAATCGTAAACTTAGAATAGAACACGAAGTACTTGTTTTATTTTACTTTGAAGAGGTGAATTTTATGTTGATTTTTTCATTATGAAAGTGCCATATTTTATTTCATTACAAACTACCTTTATTCATCGCCTTTGTCCATAATTTCACTACCAGTAATAAATTTTCATTACCTAATTCTTCACTTTCATTGCCGATTTTACAGTTTTCATTACCATCAGAAGGATATAATTTTGTCGATCAATATCTACTAAATTACTGTGTATAAACTTGTGTGAATTAAATAAATAAATTATGCTCTTTATACCGAATCTAATGATAGTAAAAAAAAAGAATTATTTTTTTTCTCCCAAAACTCTCCGAATTGCACCAAATGAGAGAAATACCCTTTTAATACATAAAGTCACGAAAATGAAACTTAGAAACGTTTTTTTAGAGTCATCTAATATCTGAGTAAATTTTTACTTAATAACATGATAAATACGATTTATGCATTAATTTCTATCTGTTTTCTAAACGTTTAGGTTAGACGTCTAAAAGGAATTAATTATCAAAGGATGCCTCACGAGCGCATATTAATTTCTTCATCAAAGGAACTAGATGGCAAAAGGTCGATTGGCCGTGGCTAATAGCTTCGATTATGCCAATCTGCCTTACTTCATTGCGTAGTACCCGCAAGCGGTCACACATCAACAAGATCTTAAAATTATACTGATAAAGTTTAAATTACCTCATGATATCGCGGATGCAGTGCGTAGGAAGGTAACGACTGTCAGACCGAGTGATGATGACAAGGACAGAACTGCATAAATAGAATGTAATATATTCTAAATAACTACTATAATCATGATAAATGTGTTATCTTTCCCGCTAATAGACACCTATTATACACCTATTTATTATTTTACTAGCTGTTACCTGCGGTTTATAAGGGATATTTCCCCGCAGTAAAAGGTAGTATATGTGTTAATCCAGGGTGTCTTACTCAATACCAAATTTAATTAAAATCGCTCCAGCAGTTTAGACGTGAAGAAGTAACAAACATACAGACTCACACATTTTCGGATTTATAATATTAGTGTGATAAGTGTGATGACCGCTGATGGCAGCTTGAGTATTTTGTTGGGATTTCGAAGTTTTTGAAGTAAAACTTCTTTTTGACGGGATCGTCACACGACTATAAATAATATATTTATATATGTTTTTTTTTATAGATAGGTCCAACAAATGACTCCACCTCACCTGATGTTAAGTGATGGTGAAGTCCAGACGTGAAGATAGCTGATACAGCAGTTCTACCTGCCACACCAGCAATCCTCACCCTGCCGGCCTGCATGTTGCTTCTTGTGTGTGTGTGTGTGTGTGTGTGTGTTTGTGTGTGTGTGTGTGTTTGTGTGTGTGTGTGTGTGTGTGTGGGATGCGTGCGCAGCTCTTCCCGACGAGAATGAAAGTTGGAGGATATCTCGGCCTAGGCTGAAACGTTACGATTCTATGGTGAAAAGTGATTTTGACCTTACAGAATCGCATGGCTTTATTCAGGCCATATATAAAATTGACGAATCTTTTAATAGTGCTACAAATGTTTGCCTGAATGTCTGCTCACCATCAGATGTGTCTATATTACACTATGTTTGTCACCTTTTGAATTGAAAACGCGAAGGCTATGACTTCACCTTCAAGGCAGTTTCGTTCGCAGGACAACAAACAAGCAACATTATAAAAATGATATTACTCAATTCAATCTCGAGTTTTTAAGCCAAATAAGGTGTTAAAAATCGTCAAGAAAACATTTAGCAATCAAACGCATTTTGTGTCAAGAATGATATGGATGAATAAAGTATCCAAATAAGGTAAACTATTACCTTATTTGGATACTATTTTCTAACTTTCTAACTGATATATTAGGAAATTATGAACTAGTAAGGCTACCTATGTATGATACATTATACCTTTAACCATATATACTGATATAAACTTATATAAAATCTCATTTCTATAGGTCCCTCAAAGACGCCACATTTTCTTTGTTGGAACATAAAGATGTTGTCCCGAAACAAAAGTGCCAAGGTTGCCACTTACCAATCCAACGCCGGCAACAGTTTTACAAACTGTACCCCTAGCACGAACTAATATCGAATTCGAATAGGTTGCAAATCGAAAAATCAATGTCAAATTTTGTATGGAAACTTGAACAGCAGCGGCACAAAGTACGTAACGAGAACTAAAAATCAGTACACATTTGACAATGACATTTCGGACTCGCAAACGTTACGAATTCGATTTTGTTTCGTGCTAAGGGTACTGGTCCTGTTAGCTTAATATTTTCTGCGAGGGAGACTGTCTTCACTCTAGTCCACATTGAAAACAAAATACTTACCTAGATCACAACTACAATGCTTAGTTCTGACCTTCAAATGATTTACTCGGTTATTTATGTAAAAGATTTACACATTACGACAATCTTATCTCAAAATAAATAATTATAAACCACCAAGTTTATTTTTCCTTCTTATGACAGACAACATAATAAATAGGTTACTCATCTGACACCAGGTAGAAAAAAAGCTTACCTCAAATAACATTTAAGACAATATTTTAGTTTCTAGTCTGCAAATTTCAAGGCGAACCAGTCGCGAACCAAATAACAAGTGTGATAAGATAAACTTTAGCTCTGAACCTGACCTCGAACAGACGCCTAAGGATTTCAAATCTCATGTAATTATAAAAGATTTTTTTAGAGCATTATCAACAAATTATCAATAGGTACCGAATATATTGGATGACAATCCGTAGTTAAAGGAACAGTAGAAAAAGTTTTTACTGGATAATTATAAAATATAAAACATTCTGAGAATA